CCGCCCATAACCGGGCTATCGGGTTAACAAAGAGGAGTTAATAATAGCATGGATGTAGATGGCTCTGCCTAACCTATCATGAGGTCTTTGCTCTACAGCCAGCTAATGACGAGCCTAGTGAGCTAACAAAGAGAACACAGTAACGGGTAGAGTTAGATGGGGCTTGGCCTAACCTGTCATTAAGTACTGTTTCAGGACCTGGGCTCAGTCCCTGGCTTTGCTTCTTACCCCCTGTGTGACCTTAGGCAGGTCATTTCTCTTTCTTGGGTCTCTGTTTCCTCATCTGTAAAATGCAAGAGTAGTACTAGATGCCCCTCCAAGTCCCTTCTGTTCTACATCTCTGTTTCTGTGGTCATTCCTGGAAAATAAAGCAAAGCAAAACTTTTCAAAGCACATGTTGCTATGGGATAGTCATGGACCAAACAGGGCAGTGAAGTGGATGAAGTGCTGGGGGGCAAGCTAGGCACATCTGGGCTCACAGCCTGCCTCTAAGGCTTCTTGGTGATTCTTGGGGCAGGTCACCTAACTTCATGGAAACTCTCTCCTCATCTGTAAATCGATGGCGCCATCTTGGTCAGGTTGTTGGGAGGATGAGAGAAGGACCACGTGTAAGTAACTGTTCTCTGGCTGGCCTTCCAATTTCTTCATCTATGGAGGTAGCTCTCTACTTGTATGATGGTTTTTCTTTTTTCTTTCTCGAGCTTGTGCAGGAATAGAGAAGACAGAAATAAGGAAGAAATATTGCGGACCACACGGTGCCCAGCACGTAGCAGGAGTTTAATACTCATTGATCAATTGTACATAAGAAATGAAGCGTTAATCCCTGCCCCCACCTTTGCAGTGTTTCCCCACTTCTCTCCTAGTTATCAAGTCATGGAGTTGAAAGGGACAGTCTATCTCTTGCTGCCTCTTCCTGCCCTCCGACCCAGGGCAGGAATCACAAATCTTCCCTGAGAAATAGGCATCTTGCCTCTACTTGAACACTTGAGGAATGTGGACTGTCTAACAAAGCATTCTTTTCCAGTTAGTTGTCTAATTGCTTTATTGAACTGAAATTCATAGTTGTTGTCATTCTATTGGTTCAGTTTCCCTGATGTATTCACAAAACTGTAGCCAAAGGCTTTGGGCCAAGACCCCTGTAGCTGCTGGAGAGCCCCTTCCCCCTCAAGCTACGTCAGCCACAGAGAAATGTCAGCTCGGTTGAAGCACCTTAGTGAAGAGAAGTGGTTAGAAATAGGAAGGAACCAAGGTGCTAATTTTACTTAGCGACCAGAAAGGAGAAGTGCTAAGTTGTGACTGCACTGACCAAGGCCCTTGGCTCTTGGCTCTTGGCTCTTCAAGCCTTCGAGATACCCCAGTGCACAGAGAGGAGAGACCTCTTTCCTTCCTAGACTTCTCTTTCCTGTGTGTACCCTGGGACTCATCCTCCTGACTTCCACCCCCACCCCCTTCCCTGCAGCCTCCCCCATCTGGATGCTCAGCTCACCATAGCACAGGAACTCCAAGGGCAACCACTGGGGCCTGGGCTGGGTGCTGGGGAGAGAAGGAAGGAATGGAAGCCTCAGGGGGACAGCTTGAGGCAGCCCCCAAAGGTCAGCTGGGACCCTGGGGCAGGACCTCCAGGGAGGACAGGGCTGTGCAGGCTGCCCAGCTAGCTAGAGGTAGAAAAGAACCCCTGGGCTTGCATCATGGTCACAGTTAGAGAAAAACACTGAATGAGGAAGGAGGCTGATGACTGAGGGGAAAGAAATTGTTCCTTTTTCTGTTTTCTGTCTGAAGCTCCAGGGGACAACAACCATGAAGCCAGCTTAGCTCTTCCCCTGGACCAAACCCCTTCTGCCTCCCCTCCTTCCCCCCCAAAACAAGCAGCATTTTGATGACTTTTGGGTTATTTAATTCCTTGTGAGGCTCAAAAGAGATGAGCTGCAGTGTACTTTACCAACCTTAAAATGCTAAAGAAATGTCAGTTATTATCATAATTATTATCAGAGGGCAACTAGGTAGCCCAGGGGATGGAGCCCCTGAAGTCAGGAAGACCTCAGACACTGATTAGCTGTGTGACCCTGGGCAGTCACTTCACCTCTGTTTGCCTCAGGTATAAAATGGGACCAATAATAGCCCCTACCTCACACTGTTGTTGTGAGGACCAAATGAGATAATTGTAAAGTGCTTAGCACAGTGCTTGGCACAGGGGAGACACTATATCAACGTTAGCCACGTCCGTGTGTCCTGTAGCACACGGCACCTTCCGGTAGCCTCAGCTGGGACTCTGGAGCTTCTCATCCCCAGAATGCTGGTCTCTAACTGGGGAATTGTGCAAAGTGATTGCGGGCCTCACCTCTTGCCAAAAGAGATCTGGGCCGGCTCATCTGTTGAAATAAATGGCCAGTATTTATGTATTGCCAGGGGTTCGCAAAGTGCTTTCTGTGTGTTGGCACATCTTATCCTTGCAAAAAACTCTGAGAGTTAAATGCTCGTAGTCACCCCCACCTCTGCTTGCAGACAGCTCTGGATGGGGAGCTCACCACTTCCCTGGCACAGGGTCCAGATTCCCTTCTGCCCACAGCTCAGAGATCTCTTGGCCCCCCGTGGGCGTGGATGGGGCACAGGAAAGGGATGGCGCTGCTCTGGTGTGTATCTGGGGAGGAGCAGGGAGTTACCACACTGGAATGGTGGCTTTTCTCCAAGGAATGAAAGAGAACAAGGACAAACTAATTGTGAAAGGTTCTTTGTTATCTATTTGGTCTGTATCTGCCACCCCGGGCCAGCCCACTCTGGAGCACAGAAAAGGGAGGTCGGCATAGAATTACAGAAGAGCCCTGTGCCGTTCCAAGCAGGTGGGGCCTCCCCAGGCAGGGTCTCCTGAGAGCCTGGGGCTTAGCCTGACTCTGCAGTTCTTCTTGGACTATCCACGCTTGCTTCAGACATCCCTGGTGGGGGCTGAAGATCTGTGATGAGCCCAGAGGCCAGGCCAGGCGGCTCCCAGTGACAGCTGTGTAAGTGACTGCTTCTATCCCCAGGGATGGACTGCAGGCCTCCACTCTGCCCAGAGGCAGGGCCTGGAGGCCCCTAGTGACAGCTGGGTAAGGGGCTACAGGCCTCCTCTCCCATGACTGAGACAGGGCCTGGGGGGTCTTGGTGACAGGTGTGCAAGTGACCACTCTGGGCCCTGGAGATGGGCTGCAGATCTCAGATGAGCCCAGAGGCAGGGCCTGGAGGCCCCTAGTGACAGCTGGGTGAGGGGCTACAGGCCTCCTCTCCCCAGACTGAGGGCAAAGCCTGGAGGCCCTTGGTCCAGGCTTGGGAGCTAGCTATGTACAGCCTCTTCTGTCTCCAGGGATGGGCTGCAAGCTTCCACTTGGTACAGAATCAGGGCCTGGGGGCTTTCCCTACCTCCTTCATAGCTGCAGGGAACCTGCATCTCTTCAGGTAGGCAGCCCCTGGCTTCTCTTTAACCCTCAACTTTAAAAAGAATTTTGTAATCTGGTGATCTTGTACTTTTGCAATTTCCAAAATCACAGTGGAGCGGCAGGTGTCTATTGTTGTGAATGTTTCCAGCAAATTGGGTTTGAAGAAAAGTCTGGTGCGGGTGGGTTGTTAATGTCAAGGTTACTCAAGGCGAAGGTAATCCCCAGTGCCCGGATTGGGGGGCGGAGGAAGGGGGGGTGATTGACCCCAAGGCATAGCCATTTGGGACAAAGACAAAGATGGTGAGACCAGGGAGGACAAGGGGATTCTCATACAGATGCTGCAAAATCAGTCATCAATCTGCATGCCTTTATTATGCGCCTGCTGTGTGTTAAGCACTGGGCTAGGCACTGCTGATCCAGAGACAAAAGCCAAACAGTTCCTATTCTCAGGGAGCTACATTCCACAAGCATTTATTATGTGCCTACTGTGTGCCAGGCACCATGCTGGGTGCTGGCAAGGTGACAGGGAGGCAGTAATGGGGAGGAGGCACTGGGTGTTTGAGAGAAGGGGAGAGGTGATGGGGGTGGGGCCCATGCAGGAGATGCCCACGGGAGAATTCAGTTGGGACACACCCACTGAGGAGGGCGGCTCCCGGTCCTCCTGGGCTGGGAGGGGCCTCACCGGCATCCACCAAACCCCCTTGGTTTTTGCAGAATTCGAGATTATAGGATGTGTCAAGGCCGCTCAGGGGGCGTTAAAAGCTGTCCTTGAACCCAAGTCCTCAGACCAAGAGCCGCGGTCCTTTTCTGTGTATTAATTTGCCCCCCCCCCATTTTTCCTGGTTCCTGTTGCCCCCCACCACAGGGAGCGGCAGAGGCGGTTGCTCTTTCTGCCATCTTGGCTCTTAATTCTGTTCATCCCTCAGGCCTAGCCTTGGCCTGAAGAGCATTTGACGCCCACCTTGGTTCCCGGATAGCAGAGGGCGGCTGCCCCTTGGGAAGGCTGGCAGAGAGGGCGGGTTCTGGGCTGGAGAAACAGCCCGAAGCTTTGAGATGGGATTTTCCAAACATTCCCCTGGTTTGGGTTGTTTTAAACTTGCCACTGAGCTTGGGAGAGTCTTTACACATAAGTTATTGTGGCTTTGTTTTATTTTGGGCTGGGGTCTCCCGCGAGCCTTTGAAAGGAAGCCTGAGGCAGAGCCGGTGGCGGAGGGAGCAGAGCCAAGAGGGAAACATCCGAGGGGAGGGGCTTGGTCCCAGAGACACAGTACAGATCCCAGGCCTGGGGTGGGGGGGTGTCTGGGGGCCACAATTAGGACTCTCTAAATGGCTGCGGGGAGACCGGAGCTTAGGCCTTTCTGTCTGGGAATTGCTGGCCTAGTATTAACGTACAGACAGTCGGGTGCACCCCCAGGCTCCAGGGCTGAGGTTTGCTGGTGGGGCTGGGTCACTGAATCCAGCCACCGCTGCCCACTCCGAGGGTGTTTGCCTTTAAAAAGAAGTCCCGTGGCCTTCTTTTCTTTTCTTTTCTTTTTATTGGCTGTGTTGGGCAGTGTGCTACTGGTGATGGTGATGAGAATAATAGTTATATAGATAATAGCATAGTATGCATAACGCTCCAAGGTTAATACAAGAGAGTACGCATGTATATTGCACTTTCGGATTCACGAAGCACTTTATCAATATCATCTCGTTTGGTCTTGGGAGGTAGATGCTATTTTGATGATCCGCATTTTCCAGATAAGCAAACTGAGACTGAATAAGGTTCAACAACTTGCCTGGATCATACAGCTAATTAGTGTCTGAGGCAGGATTTGAACTCAGATCTTTCTGGTTCTAAGGCCAGTACTCTATCTGCTGCAGCAACACCTGGCTGCATCGCATAGCAGCCGTTATGTGTGTCAGCTGGAGGGGCGGGAGACTGCTCAGGGAGCATCCCTAGAAGCTGGCTCTTGTTCGTTGGAGGAGCCGCTGCTACCCACCTGACTGGTGTCCCGTGATGGGTGTTTGGGAATATTGGAGAGAATTGAGACGAAGTGTAGTCCTCTGGGCAGTGAGAGCTTTCTAAGGGTTCTCCCAGTTCCTCTGCCTGCCAGGGTTTGGTGATGAGCTGGGTGATGGGCAACGTCACTCAGGACCATCCCGGTGAGTCCTGACAGGGGAGTCACGGGGACTGCCCCAACATCATCCATCTTTCAAACATGGCAGGTCAGGGAGGGCGATCTCTGTTTATCTGGCAGGCTGAGGGGCAGCGCTCCGTGTCTAAGAGGAAAAGAAGCTGCCACAACGGCCTCTGGTTCTGGCCACTGGTGGCACACCCTGAGGAGGGACTGCCAGGTTCTTGGGGTGATGTAGCTATGCTGCCGGGCCATCAGCGAGCACTCCAACTTGGACAATCTAGGAAGCTTCCTTCTCTTTGCAGCCCTTGAATCCAGTTATCACCATCTATTCCCTTTTCCCTGGCACCCTGCATCCTTTTAGCAATGGCACCCTTAAGAACCCAAGAGGGAAGGCACTTTGCAAGTTAAAATTTCGGGATGAATGTCACTTAGTCTTACCAAGTCGACCTGGGATGGATGAAGCTTTCGGAGGAGGTGGGGCTTGAACCAGCACCGGAGGGAAATCTCTACTTCCTAAGTTTATTTTTTTAAGTTTTGTTCATTTATTTTTTTTTTTTATCCCAAAATCATCTCACCATCTTCCCCACCCCTTTGTAAACAGAGAAAAACATTTAAGCAAATCCCAGGGACCAGCAACCCCCTTGTGACATTCTGTCCCAAGCTCTCCTTTCATGTCTTTGAGCCAAGATTGGTCTTTGAATGGAGTCTGAGGTCAACCACCCATTGGTGGGGTTTTCGTGGACTTTGTTCTAGATCTGGTGAATAAGTCCCAGTCTCCTGAATCGTGGTCTTGTTTTTTGCTCTGTGTCAGTTCATAGGGGCAGCTAGGTAGTGTAGTGCATAGAATGCCAGGCCTGGAATCAGGAAAACTTGAATTCAGATCTGGTCTCAGACACTTCCTAGCTATGTATGACTCTGGGCAAGGCACTTCACCCTGTTTGCCTCCGTTTCCTTGTTTATAAAATGAACTGGAGAAGGAAATGGCAAACTACTCCAGTGTCTCCACCAAGACTCAAATGGGCTTACAGGGAATTGGATACAAGAAACAACAGAACAACAGTGATGAGAGTATCAGTTCAGGGAAGCCTTCCCAGGTTTCTCTAATTCCTCATGTCTACCAGGATTCCAACATTGTGCCCTCCTGTTACATGAATGAATAAAGCATTTATTAAGCACATACGATGCTTCCATTTGCTTCTCTAGGTCCTTTGGCACTCACCCTTGAGAGGCCCCACGAGGAGAAGGGTTTCCCACCTACATGTTGTAGGACGTAAGGAGGGGGATACAAACAAGTTTTACCCAGGAGTGAAAGGACAAATGCTGGTAGCCTGAGAGGAGAGAGCTAAGAAGAAAGTCACCAAAACTGGGAACAGAGAGAGAGAGAGGGCAGAGCGTGAAATGAATGGAGAGTGACTGAGCCCCCAGATAGAATGAGAAAATCAAGGGGAGACCACAGGCCTGGGCCCCTTTGTGGTGGGTTTGAATTCTGGCCTGAGAAGTGTAGCAGGCCAGTGGAGGCACCAGGCTTTCCTCAGGCCCAGATGATGTCCAGCTCCTGGGGCTCAGTACCCCCTGGGTCAGCAGGATGCCCAGGGCTGAGGAGAAAGGGAGAATGACCTTGGCCTCCATCCAGCCAACCAGGTCAGCTTATCTCAGTCTTTTACGAGAGGCCCATGGGAGGAGACTGAGGTCGGGTAAGAATTGGGTGCTTTGGTGTGAGGCTTATTGTGCCCTGGACCCGTTAGGAAGACTTCTATTTCTTTTTCCTGCTGCTGGTCAGGTTTGCAGAGAGGAGCTGATCCTCTGACTGACATTTCTGGGGCAGAAATAAGAATGAATTTTCAATGGGCAGCATCAGTCATGTCAGCATATTTACTGAGGATGTTTTGCCTAAATAAGGCACTATGCTATGTGCTGGGGATGCCAGAAAGGTCAGCCACCATTCCTCACGGTGTGATGGGGGACAACATGTGCACACTCATGTACAAACAGGATACATACAGGATGAATTGGAGCTAGCCACAGAGGGAAGGCACCCCCATTCAGGAACATTCCGAATGGATTGATTGACCAGTCCCAGAGAGCTGATTAATGGACTGATGTCCAGCTCAAAACTTAAATGCTTCTTGAAGCCAGTTAGGTAGTGTAGTGGTTAGAAGTCTGGAGAAGACCTGAGTTCAAATCCCGTCTCAGACATTTACTGGCTGTGTGAAGTGTCTCTTTAATGTCATGGAATCTCTCTCAGTCACATTTTTCCTATCTGGGAAAGGGAGAGTAATGATGTCACCAACCGCCAGGGCCGTTATGAAGATCAAGAGACAAGATTTGTGAAGCGCTTTACAAACTCGAAGTGCTAGGTGAATATTCTCCATTATTAGCTATTTTGAAGCACCATAGTGCCGAGACCTTGATCAAATCCTGTCTAATATTTTTATCAGGGCTTTGGATAGAGGCATGAGTGTTATTTCAGTCATTTTTTCAGTCATGTCCAACTCTTTATGACACCATTTGGGGTTTTCTTGTCAAAGACACTGGAGTGGTGTGCCATTTTCTACTCCAGCTCATTTCTACAGTTGAGGAAACTGAGGCAAACAGTGTTAAGTGACTCGCCCAGGGTCACACAGGTTGTAAGTGTCTGAGGCCAAATTTGAACTCACAAAGATGGGTCTTCCTGACTCTGGGCCTGGTGCTCTGCGCACCTTGGGGCCCCTAGCTGCCCTTTGAGTGTTTTTGAGCCTTGCCAAATTATTGCAGATGGCATGAAGCTGAGATGGTTATCTTCATACATATGGTGACCAATAGAGTGGAGCTGTTGGTTAAAGCTGCAAGTCATCATCTTGCCCTATATTTGGGTTCAAAAAACCAACTGCACAGGCTAGGATGGGAGGACCCTGCTGAAGAGCAAGGGTGGGGTGTGTGTGTGAAACCAATGGATCGTTCTATTGGATATTTTTCTTAGTGCCTGGGATTCCCCTAGCAGGCACAAGGACAAAAGCAGAAGCAGTCCCTGTCTTCCAGGAGCTTACACTCCACTGGGGAGACAACGTGGCCACATATAACATACATACAACAGGAGCGAGCTGCACGATGTGGCGGTTTCCAGAGCGGGTCCTGAGGCGGGGGCTAGGACGCGGAGGGGTGAAGGACCCGACTATATTTAGCCTGGAGGAGAGATCAGGGTGACGTGAGAACTGTCCTCAAGCTGCCGCGTGGAAAGGAGATTTGGCCAGTTCTGCTAGGCTGCAAAGGGCCGGGCTCAAACCCAAGGGTGGAAATTACAGGGCGCGGAGTCTAACTTAACAGAAGGGGAAAAGCATCCTCGAAATTAGCTGTCCCAGATGGGGAGGAGCTGCCCTGGTGTGGTTTGAGCCTGAGACTCTGGGTGACCTTTCTGTGGGTGAGGTAAAGTCTGTCATCCTCCTGGAGCTCAGCGAGGACTGGCTTCGCTCAGGGCCATTCAAGGCTCTGATTCTCTGCTCTGAGAGGGAGGAAGGATCGATGGGCAGGGAAGTCTCATGTCCGGCTCTTCCTGCTTTCTCCTGATTTAAACATTTAAATCCTTTCCCCCAGCTCAGCCTGCTCCCCTTTAGACTTCTTGGCTCTGATCAAGGCTCAACTCAATCAACAGATCAACAAATATTGATTAGGTCCGAATTGCCTGCCAGGCACTATGCTTGGCGCTGGGGAGACAGAGAAAAAAATTGGAACAATCCCTCCCTGCAAGGGGCTCCCAGTCTAATGGGGAAGCCAATGGGTGTGTGTGTGGAGATAGAGACCGCCCAAATACATTATGCAGTGAGTACAAAGTAGCTCCATACCTGGGATCCTGCGAGAGGGAGGGCACCAGCGACTGGGGGAGTCAGGAAAGACTTCGTGCAGAAGATGGGGTTTGACCTGCATCTTAAAGGAAAAGAGAGATTCTCTGTAGTGAGGAGGGTCTACATTCCAGTCATGGGAGATGGGAAATGTGGTGTCCAGTGTGAGGGACTGAGAGGGTGGGCCTGGCTGGATCCCAGCATGCAGGAGGGACAGCAATGCCCAGTGATGGGGGAGGGGCTGGGGCCGGGTTGTCAAGGGTTTCCAAAGCTAAACAGAGACCTGTCGATTTGATTTTAGAGGTTACTGGAGCCGCTGAGTAGGGAATCGGCCATTAGATCCAGGTTTGAGAAAGATGACTTTGGCAGCAGTGTGAGGGATGACTTGGAGAGCCCAGTTGGAAGCTGTTGCAATAAGCTGGTGAGACTCCATGAAGACCTGGTGCTCAAGGGCTGGGGCTTAACAGAGTCAGGAAGGCAGAGATTCAAAGGCTGGCTCTGAGACCTGGCAGCTGTGTGACCCCAGGCAGACTTTCCGAATCTGTAAAATGGAGATGGTGATAATAACACCTGCAGCATTGGCACGGTAACCCACCCCCAAGGGTTGTTGTGGGGCTCCAAAGAGAGCATGCTGAGGGCAAAAGGACTGCAAACCCTAGAGCACCTTAGAATGTAAACTTTTTCTATTGCATTTGTGACCTTGGTCAAGTTCCCTGGCTAGGGCTTTGGTATCCTTATCTGGAAAAGGAGTGGATTGGAGCAGCCCACATCTGGGGTCCTCCTAGCTCCGCCATGGGTGAGAAGCGTTTATGTGAATTCAATCCAATGTATTTATTAAGCACCTACTGTGCCCGCTTGCAGGGTGGGATATGAAGACGTGAATGACCCTGTTCTTGCTCTCGCTAGACTTCCAGTCTAAAAGGGTGAATGCTCAGTACAACAGCCACTAGGGTGGGCTTCGGTGACTTTTACGCATCATACATGATTAATTAGCCCCATTCTTCTCGGCCTCAGAAGGCAGACATAAAAGCCATGGGCAGACCTTGCAGAAAGGCCACTTCAGGCTTGATATCTTGGACGGCTTCCTGATGGTTCCAAAGTTGGACACACTGCCTCATGAGGTGGTAGGTGCCCCTTCCCCCGGGGTCCCTTGACAGAGGCTGCAAGGTCATCTGTCAGGCACATACAAAAGGAGAATCTGTTTTGGGCTGTGCATGGGACTGGAGGTTGCTGAGGTCCCTTCCCACTGTGGGATTCTGGGAAAGTGGACACCTTGAAAAGCACTCCTAGATTGGTGGTGCTGGAAGTATTCCTCTTCCATTGTTCCTTCCTTAGCCCGTGAGGGGCCTCTGAGAGCTCCCAGGAGCGTGGTGAGGGTAGCGATGGCCAAGCTCGGGACTGTTGTTTGCCTCAAACCAGGGGAGAGATCGTGTTTCCAGCAGGAATTGAGGCCCAGACACAGTCATGGCTCCCATCATTAGTTTGGTATGGAAAAATGGTTTTATTCCCCTCTCTAGCTTGAGAAAAGCTCATGAAGGTATTCTATAGTGATGTGCTGTCGGACCTGCTGAGTTGGTCAACCTTTGAAAAACAAGCAAAGCAGGTGATAGAAACCCCAGAACATCTGCTCTTGAGGAAGGACAGTCTGATAGCTTGACCACCTTGCATCACAAAGCTGGAAGAGACCTTATGGGCCAGTGATCCTAAGAGGTCCAGAGGATGAATGACAACAGAGGAACCCAGGGAGGTTGGGCGCTGGGCCCCAGGTCCCACCACTGGTCAGGACCTGGCTTGGAGGCCAAGTCCTCCCCTGCCCCCCATGCCCCATTGGGCTGATAGGTCAGAGCTCAGCAAGCCCCTCCCGGCACTGCTGTGGCCACCATATAATGCTTTCCAGCTTTTCTAAGGCTCGAGTGTTGGCAGCCATGAGTGAGAAAGACTCAGTCACCCAAAAAAGGGGAGTCTGGGTCTGGTCTCCATTTCCCTTGGGACAGCTCTGCAGTGAGGCTGCCTGCTTCTTGCTTGCTAATGAGAAGCCTCTCATTGAGGAGGTTTGAGCTGGGTATATCCTGCCTGGTCTTTGAAGTCACTTTAATGTTAAATTTGCATTAACATCGGAGGGAAGCAGCTTTCCCCTGCCTGCTGGGTGATGCTTGGAAGCCTGTTGGTTTCACCCCACAAATTCTTCCCCAAGATGCCGCTTCCCTGTGGGAGACTTCAGATGGCTCACTTTCCTGCTGGTGTCATCTGGAAGGGCTTCCTGCCTCACACAAAGCCATCAGCCGTCTATCACCAGTCTGGAAATTCGGGGCTGACTTTGCAAACAGCATCACCGAGGCGGAGAAGAGGATGCCCTAGGTGGGCAGCAGAAGGAAGCTCTGAGGTGGCTTCCTGACTGACCATCTTTGAAGCTCACATAGAGCCTGTGCTGAAGCCAGCATTCAGTAAGGCAGGAGACCCTGCAGAGAAGGAAGGCTTCAGGTGCCTGGAACCAAAGGCTCCAGGCTCCAGCTCGGGCTTCCAGATCCTGGTTCCTGGCCAGGCATTCATCTAACTGTGAATTGGGGTGTCAGGGCACTTCCTGGGGCTCTTGAGCTTCAAAGCAGTTTGCATTTCTTACCTCTGAGGTCAACACAGAAGTTCAGGTGATCCCAAGAAAAGGAAAGGGTCAATCGATTCCAGGGGCAGCTCTTTTAAAAGAGAAGAAGGAAAATTGATTTCAGAGTGTTGCCTAACTCATCCTTTGCGGATGGAGAACAGTTTCCTGAAAACGTGTCCCCCTTGAGGCAGAGGATTGCCTGGGAGGAGGCTGGGCTTTCATTGGTATTTTTTCCAGATTTGTAAAAGAAACCTCTTTCATCCCCCTTGCCCACACTGAGAGAGAGACAGAAACATAGAAAGAGAAAGGGAGACAGAGAAAGACAGACACACACATAGAGATATGGAGACAGAAAAAGAGAGACAGAGAGAGAGAGAGAGAGAGAGAGAGAGAGAGAGAGAGAGAGAAGGAGAAGGAGGAGAGAAGAGAGATTGATTCCTGCCCCGGTGAGGGGGGGAGGGGGGGAGGGGGATCTGTCTGAATGTTCCAAACTGCCTCTCCGCCTCTCCCATCTAGCATAAAGTGTATGACTTTGAGCAAGTTACTAAAACTTTCCGAACCTGTCTGCTCCTTTGCAAAATGCGAACAATATTAGACTACCTCATAGGGCACTTGTCTAAATCGAAGTAGAAAGTCTAGGTCAAGGGCTTGGCAAATATTCAATTGATACAGGAACGCAGGGGGCCCTCCCCTCCCTTCCCTCCTGCTGCTGCTGGGCTCTTCCTCCCCTCCCCCTCCTCCTCCCTCTCCTCCTCCTCCTCCTCCCCCCCTCCTCCCCCACTCCCCTTTGCCCTCCTCCTCCTCCACTCCCCAGTTACTATGCGTTTATTTCGGACATGCTGAATCATGGCTTCAGAGCTAGAGGGACCTTTAGAGACCATCTGGCCCAAACTCCTCATTCTATAGATGGGGAAATTGGAGCTCAGGGAAGAGAGGTGACTTACCCAAAGCCACATGATAATACGGGACGTTCCCAAGATCTGAACTCAGGTCTGCTGGTTCTGGAGAAAAGCCACTTCCTATTACATCACTCTGCTCTGGTGAGGGGAATACAAGCTCCTTGAGGGCAGGTCTTCATATCCCCAATGCTGAGCATGTAGGATGGACTTAATAAATGCTTGATTGATCAGTATAATACTAGGTAAAAGAATCCTTCCTTCCTTCCTTCCTCCCTCCCTCCCTTCCTTCTTTCCTTCCCTTCCTCCTTTCCTTTCTGTCTCTGTCTCTGTCTCTCCCTCCCTTCCCACTTACTTGCTTTTCTGTATGGGGAGTTTCCTTTTCAGATGGAAGGGCTTAACTCATTTTCTCAGATTTCCTGGCTGACATCAGTAGATCTAAAGAAGGCAGGCCCCAAGAGGCTGCCCCCTTCCTCCCTCACTCGCTGGCAGTTTCTGCATTCTTTAATAAAGCATTCTTTAATAAAGGAAACAGGAAAAGCGGGTTCACCTTTGCAGCTGGGCGGTGTCTGAGGTGAGAAGTCTTCAGCCTCCCCTCGGCTCCCAACAGGAGGTCAGCTGTGCCCTCCTCTTCACCTGCTGATTCCAGGACTGACCTCAGGTTCCCTCTTCCTTGTGAATGTTAGACACTGGTCAAGTTAAGTCAGTGAGCATTTATTCAGCACCTACTATGTGTGAGGCACTGTGCTAAGCGATGGGGAGAATGAGAAAAGCACAAGACAGCCCCTGCCCTCCAGGAGCTCACAGTCTCACGAAGCCCCACAGCAAGCACAGAATCAATAGGAGATAATAAGCAGGGAAGTCGCTGGAACTCAGCAGGGTCAGGAAGGCTTCTAGGAGGCTGGAGGCAGACGGCATCCCTGGCCCGGAGGACTGCAGTGTCTTGGACAAGGAGCGGGCAGGAAGCCAGAAAGGTAGGAAGGGGCTGTTGGTTAAGTGTCTTAAAAGGGAAAGAGGATTTTACATTTGATCCGGGCAGTAAGAGGCAGTGACATACGTGCTGTGTAGGGCACACGCTCCCACGCCGCTATCCCATGGGAGGCGACTCAGAACCCATCAGATCCCGACTTTTGCTTTGTTTTGCTCAGTCCATTTCAGTCACGTGATTTGGACACGTGTTCTACACAGTTGAGCAAAGTCACTGGGCAGGGAGCGTCCTCTGCAGTAGAGATGCAGAGCTCAGTCAGCCATGCCTGTGGCCAGGCAGGAGAGGGGCCCGGGCCTGGAGCTTAGGTCTTACATCACAAAATCTCTGAGGACCTTGAATCCAGGCCTCCAGGTCAACATGATGTAATGGAGAGAAGCCTGAGGACGGACACAGTCTGGAGATCAAGGTTCTAGGTTCTAATTTGCAGTACTGGGGACAGACAGGTCATCTCCCCTCTCCTCATTGGTAGATCCTGGAGGTTACACTGGACCAGGGCCTCTTTTCCTTTTCTGGCTTGTGGACCCCTTTGGCAGGCTGGTGAAGCCAGCCATACAATGACCACAACAAGTTTGGGGGGCCCAGGCCAGGAAACTCTGCACTAGATGAAGTCAAAGCTTCCTTCCAGGACCAGTGAATGCTCTTGTTAACCCCACTTTACAAATGAACCAACTGAGGCTGGTGACTGGCCCAGAAGCATCAGCCCCTGAAGAGTCTCAGCTGCAGCGAAAGAAGGAGGGATCTGAGAAGCAGAGACATAGAGCTTAGCATCCAATAGGGAAACTGAGGCTTGGAGAGAAGTGACTTCGTGTGGCACTATAGCATCCTGAGGCTGGGTCCAGGTTGGTCCCAAGGAAGCCCACGGCCCTGTTCCCCTTTTCTCCCAGTCTCCAGGCCAAGGGCACTCTGCTTATTCAGGCCACGTGGGCATCATCTCCTTTGTGCCCGGCCTTGGAGCTGCCCTGAGATGGGCTGGAAAGGTCTGGCAGCACTCCAAGGATCTCGCCAGGGATAGACTGGATGCGCTCACTGAGCGCCATCAGCGCCGCCCAGGGAACGCCAGCAGCCATAACAACAGCTGCATTTATCAACTGTTTTGATGCTGGCCAAGAACTTGGTATCCACTAACCCATTTGCCCCCCAACAGCCCCACAAGGCAGATCCTCCCCATTGGACAGACTAGGAGAGAAGTAGATTCTTCTCTGGGTCACACAGCTGGTAATTGGCAGGCTTTGGGGGTCAGGAGGAGGACTGGGGGAGTCCCTCCAGAGGCTCAAACTGCCGAGGTGACTCTCAGGGCCCCAGGTCACAATCTAAGGTGGACAAGGCTCTGATCTGTGTGTGGAGAGGGGGTTTCCACCTCGAAAGACCCCCAGGATGATGGAATCACATATTCGGACCCTTCCCCTCCCCCCAAGGGAAGTGCCAGTATCATCATCCACCCCCACCCCAGGGCATCCAGACCAAATCCACCCATTTTACAGAGGAGGAAACTGAAGCCAAGAGGGGAGAACTCAGACCCTTCAGGTGCTCGGTGGCAGAGGAGGTTCCTAGGAGCAGCTGGGGTGGGGTCCTCCCAGGCCATCTAGACTAACCCCCTCTTTCACAAAACTGATGTGGGTGGAGGCCACGGGACTTAGCCAAGGTCACACAGGTAGAAGGCATAAGAGGTGGAATCTGAACCCAGATCCTCTGATTCCTCAGCCAGTTTTTCTTTTTTTTTCCTAACCACAATTCTGTGGGGGATGTGGTGTAGAGTAATATTGTTCCCATTTCACAGATTAGGAAACTGAGTCTCAAGGAGGCCCTCTAGGTCCATGTGGGCCAGGAAGCCTGGCCCCTGCCTTGAGTCCTTTTCTCAGAGCTCGGATAATGAGGGGTCGTAGTGACTCCCCCCACCACCCCCCATCTCAGCTCTTAACCCTTCAGCCACCAGTCTGAGCTCAGCCAGCCCTCACATCATGAAGAGGGCATGGGGTGTTCTGTGTCGGCCCATAACCGGATGACACGCTGTAATGTGGTTTCCTGGTGGTGATTGGAGTGATGTGGCTTCTGGGGAGGAGTGGGGGCCTCGTTAGCACATTGTCCTCTGATCCACCGATTTGGAAACAGCTTTTGGCCGGCTCTTGGGGGGAGGGGAGAAGCAGGAACCGATTTCCTGTGTTTGGGGCTCATCGTGGGCCTGCCCGCCTGGTCTCGCCTCCCTCAGGGGTTGCTGGGTCACACCACACACTGCAGCCATAGGCCTTGTAAAGAAAACAGAGGAAAGGGAAGTGGAGGAAAAAGTTATCCAGAAACCAGGAGAGTGGGAATGGAGCCAAGTTTCTATAATCACACACTCCAGTTGAGGTGCTCTTTGCAGAAGGGTGAGCGCAGTGTGTGAAGGAGACCCAGAAGCTCCTGGGTGTGTGTGCCCCCTGCCCCCCATTTCTGGACCTTGAGATGGGCTCTGCCTGGTCCCCTCTTGTCCCTGACCAGGACTCTCCATCTCTTGTCCTACTTGGAGGGGCATTGCTGCCCCCTGCCTTTGCTCCAGAGGGGCTGGATGTGGGGGAGTTCCTGGGAGCACAGGGCCTGTTAGGAAGTTGAGTCCAGACTGACTCCTGCCTCACCTTTCTTGCTCCAAGATCAGAAGACTGAGGTCCACACAAGTAAAGTGAGTTTCCCAAGGTCACATGGCTAGTAAAGGTCAGAAGCAGGATCTGAAACCAACCAAGTCCTTCCATAGCGAATGAAAATGCTCTTCCCTATATCTGTATGTTGCCTCTTCTAGGAGAGTTGTTTTTGTTTTTTTTTAATGCTTTACTTGGTGCCTTTACGCTTTTTAAAGACATTGCCATCACTCCCAGTCCTCCTTGAGAACAAATAACCTTCCCCTGGAACAAAGACACACAGTGGCCGCAGCTGACAGTGTATGCCTCATTGTGCAGCCATAGTCCCCCCCTCAGGTCCTGATCTGAGTCCTGAGATCTTGGGGGGAGGGAGTCCTTTACACTCGTAAATCGAGTTATCATGTGACAGCTCTCTGTTCCACCCATTTTACTCTGCATCATCCAAACCAGTTTTCTCTGGTTTTTCCAAATTCCTCCTCTTCATCCTTTCTCATGGCATGATAATATTTTGTTTCATTTGTCCACCAGTTTTTTCTGCCGTCTCTCAGCTGCTGAGCCCCCACTTTGTTTCCAGTCTCTTGCCACCACAAAGAAATGCTGTATGGTGTTATTTGGTATAATCAGATAAGCAAAACGTTTGTTTTTATGGGCCATGAGTCCAGGACACAGGACTCGTTATTGTAAATAGAATGCTACCAGTAGTTTGAAGCTCATTTTGCTGGATTGTTTTCAAAAATTAAAATAAGAGCTCATTTTCGTCCCCTGGCTCATGTTAATCGGGAGATTCATGAAAGAGGTCTTAGACCTCGCTCCTAGTCAGCAAGGTTGGATTTTATTCTCAGCGAGGATGTGCGTGTGGTCATTTCTTGAAGGAATGAGATTCATTCCAGCCAAAATGGCCTGTTTGTTGTTTCTGAAACTCGGCATCCCCTCTCTGGGCTTTGCACAGGCTGTATCTCATGCCTAGGACGACTTCTCTTCTTGCCTTCACCTGGAATCCTGAGTTTCATATAAGGATCCTCTTAGGAACTCTGTCCCCTCCTTCAGGAAGCCTTTCTGGGTCCCCTCCCCCAATTGTCACCTTCCTTAAATGTTTTGCCCTGTCTGGGCACCTGTAGAGTCTGCCCCCATCGCAGGTCTCCAGGAATGGAAGCTGGATGAAGGCAGCGTCTGTTCTAGCTTTGTTTCTCTGTCCCAGCACCTGACTGAGTGCCTGGCACATAGGTAGGTTTGGCAACAGGGGCTAATGACCAACTGCCTGCCAGGGCTGGGGTTCAGGGAGGAATGTCTTTGACAGAAGCTGCAGTCATCACCGCCAAAATGCTTTTTGTGCCTGGATTTGTTTTCCGTCCCTGTGACGTTCTGGCAGCCTCGTCTTCTGCACCTCCCTTTGGAAGCTCTGGTCTTTGATTCAGAGGTGCTCAGGGCTTTATTCCATCTCCTGGCATTCTACCACCCTCCCTCTTCATCTTTTCTTTTCTCTGTCTTTAAGAAAAAGAGAGAAAGCCCCGTGAGCACTGGGAGTCCTGTTGGGTGGTTTGGGAGCCCATCAGCCTGGGGCACCCATTCCCTTCACCTGGGCTCAGGATCCTCAGTGTTTGGGGAGGAAGCTCCCTATTTTGGTTCGGGGGCTGTGTGTTGCTTCGGCTCAGGTACAGTTGGCTAGGAGGGTTTTTTTTTAGACAGAGGAAAGTGGGTTACCATGGAGAAACCTTAGCGCAAGCCCCAGGTTACCCTGTAGCATGTACGCACATCCCTGTCCTGATTCGCTCAGTCACACACACGATGGAGCCGGCTCGCCTTTGGAGATGTCACTGCCAGGAGGCTTCATTAGCAGAGAGGCTGAGCTCCGGGGCCAGCCGCAGATGGGGCAGGTTTCACCCGTCCCCTCCCCAGCTCTCATCCCCCTCTTGTCACCACGGAGACAAGATGTTGCCTCGCTCCTTTGATCCAGCCCTGAAGAGCAGTAGAGGTAAGTCTCCGTCCCCGTGGGCAGGCTTCGGGACGCTGTGGACAACCTGGTGGGATCCATGGGCGTCCGGGAAGGTTGCCTGGTGCTCACAATCTGCCTAATGCTTCAGACCTCCCAGGCTGCCCTCATACACACAGGATATATCCCTCTGAGGTGGGCAGGGCTATTATTACTTAGCTTCATTTTGCAGATGAGAAGCCTGAGGCTAGGAGACTCAAATGACTCCCATTTTAGCGTTCTTCCAACGGCTTTACCCACTTCTGGGAAGCAAGTTGTGGGGAGAGGTTGAGACAGTCACCTTCAGACACTTACCAGGCTGGATGCACCATGAGACCAGACCAGGGTGGTTTTTATTATTAAAAGGGAAAGGGGCATGAGTTTGAGGGCACATGGAGTTGGCGCGTA